GGGGTATCGAAAAAAACCTGCAATTTTTTCGGGACCGACAAAAACAGCGGATCGCCGCAAAACTGATTTTTTGTCAACCCTGGATTAATAAACCCTAGCCCGGCTGTTGAATTGGGAGGGTACCATTTAAGTATTAGATGAAATGACTATAGGAGTACCCCTCCCTTTTTTTCATAAACCATGGTTTATTAATCCGGGGGGTTGACATTACTGTAAGTCTATAATGTTAAATTACAATGTTGTGAAACTACAAACATGAAATTCATGAACACGAAGGCTTCAAAGCCTTTTTTCATCTGAAGCATCTGAACCATCTCAGCTTCCAACAGAAGATCCCGACAAATTCCGGATCCTTCCATGAAGACAGTCACAAGGGCGGCCAGCACCTAACCAACTTGGCACGAGAGTGGGATAGGGTCATGGTTTACGGTCGCAAAACATCCAAAAATGAATCTGAAAGAAAACACCCGGAGAATGACTTTGGAAATTCATTCAATAATCTGAAACGCAAACGCTAGAGAATGAGTTTGAAAATGCAAGGTTTAATGACTATATATACATTATATATATAATTATATATATATAGTATATAAATTATATATCAATGTCAATATCCATGGACACTTGTAGCAAAATGGAGGTTATAGGATGGAAGTAGAGATAGAACATGATGTGCTGAAAACCAACAGCCACCCATCATCATCTGCATCATGATGTGGTTACTGGCTTTTGACATCCTGAAAGCGATGAAGGTCAAAGATGCCTAGAGACCCTACAAATACGTATCCAAACCAAAACATATTTAACAAGGAGACATTCCGCTTCAATATTTGGGGCCCCACGAGGTCAAAAAGTGACATTTGAAAGCGGAAAGTTGCCAGGTCTTCAAGTCAATCCAAAACCCTACGACTCTTTTTCTCTCCGCGATCTGCACGACGGAGGAAAAGGAAATGGCACAGTTTTGGTACCCTTCCGGAACATGGCGAACACTGACTCTCTCTGTCATGTTGCGCTCCAGGAATGTAGAAGCAGTTTGGCTTTGTAATCCCGGTTTCGATATATAACTATAGTTATGGAAGTAACTATAATTATGACATGTTATGAAAGCTAAATTAAGTAAACTCAGTTACACACTTTCTATAGCTTTTTGCCAAATTCTGGGCCCCGGGATGGAGGTGAGTGTTCAGTCCCAGGAACCATGAGCTTCCCAGATGATATGCCACTGGCAGACTGGGGGTTGTTGAAACTGCTGGCTTTACAGCGGTTATAACATGTTATAACCTAGATATAATGAGTAGAATCCCACTGACTATTAGTTAACCAGTTCACTTCAGAAAGTGTGATTGTCTGGAACAAATGCTGAACTACCCTCTGGTAATTTAACGTAGCTATGGAAAATCAACATTTTTGGTGGGAAAACTCACTATTTCTATGGCCATTTTCAATAGCTATGTTAGTTTACCAGAGGGTACATTGAAATACCATCCCCCAAAGCCCAAAACCCCCCCCAAAAAAATGCCATAAATCGAGGCTACTGAAGTCACAACGATGGCATACCTGGAGCGTCGATGCCAGGTGGCACGTGGCGTCTCTGGTGATGAATTCATCGGGACCTTTTTTTGGACCGGACACACCGACCTCTTTTAATCACCAACAATGCAAGGTGGGAGCCCTAGATAGCTAAGTTGGTGAACATAACTCCAATAAGTATATGCTATATATAATACTGATAACATCTTATAAGTATAGTCAGTATAGTTTTTTTTGGGTTTACACACCAACTTATAACTGCTGAGGCCACATTATATGCAACCATGCAACCGCAACAAGGGGAGAGCTGTACCGGGCCATGCGATTTGGGTTCATCACCAGGGGCGACCAAAGATTGCAAGGGCGGTCTGCACAAATCGCGGTCCGCTTTTTGATCACACTGTGCGATGTCCTAGACGTACAGTATATATATATACATATACACAATTATATATATATATTATTATATATATATATATCATATCATAATGTAATCATATATAATAATATAATAATTCTACACTATTATACTAATAATACATAAGGTACCCAAACATGATAAACAAGCTAGCTGCCTGTCAGACGTCTCTTGGGGAACACTATGTACCAAGGAGGAAACCCTGCAGTTGCTTTACCCAGCAATGATATAGGCGTTCCTCACAGTTGCGGTTTTTCGGCGCCAAAAAGCGGAGCGCTGGACCCTCTTCGAATTTGCGGATCTTCAAGATGCTTTTCTTGAGAGACCAAGCTCCTTCGGGAAGACCCGGCTGAAACCTTACCAAGTTGAGGGGCATAAATTTGGACTTGACACACGGTTGGGGGATATCTCACTGGGGAAACGATGCCCCAACTGGTGGGGTTTTCCAAGGACCCAGGTCATGTGGGGCTTCCCAGAAGCTCAGTGACCACCAGCGCGGTTGGGACAGCACCGTTCCCAAGAAATATGGCTGGGTGTGCGTCAAGCAGGAAATGTATGTTTCTGCATGAGCTTTTTCTGCGAACTTTTTTTTTCTCATGAATTGATCATAACTGATCACTTCGTGGAACCCTATTTGTGTCGCGAAACTTTTCTGGGATCCAATCCCATAGGATCCATGGTGCTGGTATATATGCTAACATGACTGGGGTATATTGATGGGATCTATGTCACCATATATACCAGCACCATGGATCCTATGGGAATCCTTTCTTCTCAAGGTCCATTGGGTGCTACCGAAAGACAGCCTCACATCATGTCACCGCGACGCACCCCGGCGCGGTTTCTGCTACATCCAGCGTAGCAAATCTTCAAACCTCGAAGTCAGCGATGATCGCTGTTGCACAGACGTGCATGGAAGCATGGTTGGGAAATCCTGCACCAAGTGGTAACTATTGGTAAGTATGAAACACCAAGTGAATTTCATGGGATTTTGGTGGGATTATACTGGGATGTTTACCATCTATACTGGTGAAGGATTTCGCAACCATCCACAGCATATCCAAAAATTATCTCAACATGTCCTAAAGTGGGGGAAGAACAAACCCAGCTTCCAACTACGATCAAGGTCATGTCTCTACATCTTTACCTTCGCGACCCGTGAACTTTCCCCGGCATTATAGGAAGTGTATGGAAAAGATACAGAAGCGTGCCATCAAGTCCCAGATTCTTGGGCCCCGAACAATGTAACTGATATCAACCAACCATCATTTACATGTTTATCAGCTATCTCCCTGTTTTTTTTCCTGGAGATTAAAGCCCAGATTTTGTGGGTAAGTTCCGCCCCCCCCTATATTTCATAACTGGACTTTCTGAAAATCCTGAAATTGGGGTTCCAATCCTATCTTACTGTATGGTTGCCACCGGTTTCAAGCCGCATGAACAGATGTTTCAATTTGGGATTGTGTACCTCCAAGCTGTGGCACATCCATTTCTGGGCAAACCCCATACGGTTTTTGTTGCAAAACCATGGCACCAACATCCCGTTCTCGCCCTTCAATGCCTGCAAAAAAGGGGTCCGTTATGTTTGGAAACCTCTCCGGAACAACAAAGTTGTCACATGTTATCACCATAAAACCTCTATAGGTGTAGTCCTAACAACCAACCAACTTATGTTTCAAGTTATGGTTTCATGCTCATCCCAAAGCGATCAGATTTATCGCTCTTAATGTCAAGTTGGTTAGCCATATCCCCATGACCATGTAGTATCCCTCTCTGTGTACGTGTCCCATGATCTCCTATAGTTACATTATGAAAAAAAAACAGCTCCTCTATATAGCTACACTATTTAACAGTTTAACAGCATCAAACCCCTAGTTTTGTCATGGGTCTATCATGGTTATATCCCCATTTACTCCCAGTTAAAGATGATTTCCCATGATATTCCCAAAAGATCCATGGCTCCAACTGTACCAACCTGCCGTGCCCAGTTCCTCCGCCATGCCACAAGCTTCGCCAGCCAGTCAAAGGCCTCTGCATATCCCATGCCTTGGCGACTGCGACTTGACGTGCTGTTGGGTATTGAGAATGTATATAAACTGTATATCATATATAGTATATATAGTATATATAGTATATATAGTATATATACTATATATAGTATATATATATATAGTAGATATATAGTAGATATATAGTATTTATAGTATATATAGTATATATATATATACATAGTATACATATAGTATATATAGTATATATAGTATATATAGTATATATAGTATATATAGTATATATAGTATATATAGTATATATATATAGTATATATATAGTATATATATAGTATATATATAGTATATATATAGAGTATATATATAGTATATATATATATATAGTATATATATATATAGAGTATATATATATATATAGTATATATATATAGTATATATATAGTATATATATAGAATATATATATAGTATATATATATAGTAGATATATAGTATATATATAGTATATAAATATATATAATCATCTATTTAGTATATCTATTTAGTATATCTATTTAGTATATCTATTTAGTATATCTATTTAGTATATCTATTTAGTATATCTATTTAGTATATCTGTTTAGTATATCTGTTTAGTATATTTGTTTACTATATTTATCTATCTATCTATCTATCTCTATCTCTATCGCTATCTCTATCTCTATCTCTATCTATCTATCTAGCTAGCTATCTATCCATCTAGCCATCTATCTATCTATCTATCTACCTATCTATCTATCTATCGATCTATCGATCTATCGATCTATCGATCTATCGATCTATCGATCTATCGATCTATCTATCTATCTATCTATCTATGATGTTACATCACGTTGCATTTTTTTACATCAATCTTCTAAATGGTGAGTTGAAGAATCGATCATAACTCACAAAAACGGATCAATAGCTATTAGAAATGTAACAGCAGCAGGATAGGAGACGTAATCCTGCCACTGACGCCATTGACCAAGGTTGGCTGAATCAGAGATTTTTCACCAAGACATTTTTAGCGTTCCGTTTTGGTTGGCTTCCCAGTACTGACCATCAATGGTGAGGGATCGACCCAGCAGGATTCGATCGACCGTTGCAAGTCACGCTTCACCACGGAGCACATGAAGAGTTCCAAAGGTCTCACGGATGCCTCTCCCTTGGTCACGTACTTGCCTCCCAGGCAAGCAACGGTCTGATCTGAAAATTATTGATATGTTCTCAATATAAATATATATATAAGCATATATAACCCAATACTTCTACATCATGAGATACACTCCAGTAATCAAGCATCATGGCAAAATCCACCATTTTGTTCGATCATTATCCCATTAAAGGCTTCATTTCTCATTGAGATTTTCCAGTTAGCCATGTTGGATTACCGTGGCTATATCAAAACCCTAGGGTAAAGTAACGTAGATGTGGACAACCTATAGTTTCCCCAGGAAAATCATCTACACATGGTTGATTTTCCACATATATGTTATATTATACCTAGGACCTCCAAAGTAACGTAAATTTACATGACGTTGAGTTTCTGCCCTAAAACGCACGTTTACGCTCGTGAAGGAAAAAGTGTTCCTTTTTGAAAAATCTGCGCGTCACAGGTTTTTACGAGCCGTGGTTTGGCACTTTTCTCTGCAAATATTGGGGTGTTCAGACAAACACAAATAGACATGCGTGAGAAATCCTTTGGGGTTTAGAGGAAACTTGTTTTGGATTTGCGCCCGTTTGCACTTTTTTGCGCAGATTTGTGCCCGTTTTGCACATTTTTTGCGCGACCTTTTTGAGCGTGTGGGTCTTGCAAAAAATGTTCATCCCTGGAGAATTGCACACATTTAATGACAAGTAGCCACGGCTCAGATAAAAGTAGGCAGCAGGCTGAAGAGTTCTTTAAATGCGCTGTTGGAAGGAAAAGCGCTCGATTTGCAAAATTGTGCTCGGGGAATATTTTTACGAAAACGAAAAGGTGATTTAGGTGACGACTTGTTGATTTAGGTATCGAAAGGGTACTGGGGCATAAATTTAAGTGACGCTGGAGGTTCCTGGTATATATAGAGTTTATTGTAGTTTATTTATGTTTATCCTACCTGGTCAATATTCCGTTTTTTGTTTTTGTATCTTGCTTGGCATGGCTATATCTGATGAATTAGTCTCATATTTCAGGGTCTGGACCATGCAGATTTATGGCTTCGTCCAAACGATAAGAACCTCAAACTCCTGTGGTTTATCCTTGGATTTTGCCATGCAAATTGCCACTATTGGTGGTAAATTCTCTATTTTTTGAAAAAAACAAGACTTCATATTCTGGGTGATGCATATTCCAGTCCCATGTTCTCCGCATTATGTGTGTATATATATATATATGTATATATCCATTAAATCCCACCACCATATCACGAACTAAACCCCCATCAAATATTTGGTTTTTACCCTCCTGTAAACGTTTATATAGATGTCGAGTTTACCCACCATTTTGTAGATCAGTGAGCAGGGCACTATGGGTTTTCCATGGGTTTTCCATGGGTTTTCCATGGGTTTTCCCTGGGTTTTCCATGGGTTTTCCATGGGTTCCCCATGGCCTGACGTCATGTGGGTGTAGAGTCCAAGGGAATGTCGCAGCTCGTCTTCAGAGGCTGCCACCGGGATGTCGATCTTGTTGCCTGCCCATTTGGAACTGGGCAGGGGGTTTCTAAACGTTTAGCAAGAACATGGGATGATGTTCAATGAAACAT